CCACGCACGGCACCGGGTTGAATGCTCTCCTCCTTAAGCATCCTGATCAGTATTTTGCTTGTTGAGAGACACTGTTGCAGAAATTACTGACGGAGCCCTCGCCGGCAGAAACCAAATAAAAATCCTCCCAGATACCGGAGAACTGACACCGTGCCTGGGCTGGGAGGAGCTCGGGGAAGGAACAGGCAGTTCTGCCAGGGGGTGATGGGGCCTTCACAGAAGGAGTGTCCAGCGCTAGGCCTGGTGGTGCAAGAGCCCAGCATGCGGGAAGAGCACGTGCAAAGGCCCGGGGCTGCAGATCCTTTGGACCAGGAGCATTGCTGGAGTGAATGAAGAGAGATAATTGCTGGATTTCTCCAGCTTTACATCAGTGCCAACAGGGCAGATGGGGCTGCCTCCCTGAACAGGAGCAGCCAGTTACTCGGTTACATTCTCCTTGCAGACAGGGGTTCTGTACAGCGAGGCCATCTAGGAGCTCCCAGCGCACTGCCTCTCATTTGCTAATGGCCTGTGTTACCAGGGCACCAAGTTCTGGGCCTTAGCAGTGATTATCACTCAGAAGCTCTGCACTCTACACTGGACTCTTCAACCCAACAGCGGCCAGTCTCTCATCTGTCCCTGCCTCAGTTTCCCCAGCTATATGTAGAAGGAGCCGCTCCGGCCCTGGTGGAGGGTGACACATTCAGTGCCCACAGCAGCCAGGCAGATGATGGAAACGATGGAAGCTGGCAGCCCTGGACTGTGGGGCACGGTGGGGACTGAGGCAGCCTGAGAGAGAGCTCGGGCCCTACCCTTAAAGAGGGATTCCTGCCTGTCATTGCCGCGAAGTGACGCCACCTCAGGGCCAGTGTCACCAGGTTTGTAAGGAAAACTACTTATCCAAATTCTTGATGGGAAATTTCCCAATTTAAAATTAATCAGGGGCCGGGGATTTGGCTCAGTGGTGCCGCCGCCTGCCTCGCAAGCTCAAGGTCCCGAGTTCGATTCCCAGTACTCCCCCTCCAAAAAATCAATCCAACAAGTAACTATTTTTTGAGTGCCAAACTAGGTGCTAGAAACTCTTCCAGGCAAGGGAGATAAGGAGTGGACAAAACCAACAAATCCTTGCCCTCCTACAGCTCATGCTTTAGTGGCTAATGGACGAAGAAATAATGTGTCCAGTGTCAGGTGGTGATTCCGGCTGTGAAGAATAGCAGATAAGGCTGGGGAACTAGCTGGAGGTGAAGCAAGGCTCTAGGTTCCTTCCTCAGCACACACACAAGAGGAAATAAAGTAAAGCAAGTAGGAAACAAATAATAAGGAAAGTTAGATACGGGGGCATGAGGGTGAGTCCGTGGCTTTTAAGTAGAACAACAGTGGTATAAATTGTTGGCAGCTGGCTGAGGCGTTCCTAAGCACTGGGCCAGGTCCTGCCTCTGGTCTCCATCCTGCCGTGGTTCTGACAGAGCTGCAGTGATCAGCAGCTCTGAGAGTGCCCTCTCTCCATGGTGAACAGGGCTGGCTCCCTTGGTCTTCGGGGGATAATGGCGACCGTGTGTACAGATGGAAGGCCTGGGCTGTTCTGTGGCCAGGGCCTTCAGCTTCCTTCATCACTACCTCCCAGCTTCGCTGTCTGACTCAGTGTAGAGTCAGGGCTCCCCAGGTCAGTTTCCCAGGCTCAGATAATAGCTGGCTCCCACTGGGTTTGCACTGTGAGCAGCCCTAGTCAGAGATAGAAAGCAGGGAGAAACCAGAGTACTCCTCCCGCTTTCTGTCCCTCTCCCAGGTCTCTTACACCAGGGGCTTCTAACTCTGGATTTGCCTTCTGCTGTACAGATGTTCTAGCTTTTTTTTTTTTTTTTTTTTTTTTTTTT